TATTATTACCACTATTATACTGTACCAATATTGCAATGATTTTTGAGATTATGGTAAACGAATACCAAAATATACAGAACAAAAGTATCTAGACAAAATTATTAGATGAATATGTTATTGCTATTTGAAAACTAAACGCAACATAGACCCAGAATATTTTATACTTCTCAGCAGTCATATAAGTAAATACAGTATGAGCTCAAAATGGGGTTATAAAAGGTTTCTGGTGAATATTATGTAATGTTTAACGTTTGATACGAACTTATATAGACTTTTCTATATTTCAATGACTTCTTATTAATTTCACATTAAAGTGATTCAATGTATGCACAATATAAATTATTGTACGGTATATTAATTGTAATTTACTAATGTACTACCGGTATATTACTTATTATAATCTGTGTACAATACCGATAGTTAGTCTTAGTGTATTAGTATTTATCATGCTGTTATGTGGTCAATTTCAGATATAATCGTATCGTTTGTTATGAATTTAATAAAAATTATATTCACCATGGTCATATAAGTTACGAATAATTAGTATATTTTTCAGATTCTTATAAAATCATAAGATTGGGTCATTATTTTCTAAACTATGTCAGCCATGGAGTGGAATATTTGCTTGGGTCCAATAAAATGATCTGGTTGCAATCATTTACGATACGATTTGTGATCAATAAATGGAGACAAACTTAAAAGAGTTAAGTGTTGGCCTTTCGGAGCCTTTTATTTATGAACCAAAAATAGTGGAAACAATAAAATGTAAATATAATTATATAATGAGAACTAATTTCATAAGACTTTAAATAAGTTTTAAAAATTGGTTTCATTTAGTTTTGGCCCGAATTCTTGAGAAATTCTTCAAATGCATCGCACACTTCGGAGTCGTCTTCATCGCCGCATTGACCGAAATCATAGCTAAAGAGTAGTGAAACAAACGGTGAGAATATAGTGAGAGTAATGAGAGAGTTGGTGGTAATGGAGTGATACCTGGCCTGGAAGTCTTCTTCATCAGAATAGTTGTACTCTTCATAATAATCAGTCGAATTGGCGGCACTTTTTTCGGCCAAATTTGTGTTCAGATATGGATTGACGAGAGGAGTGTTGGTGACGGACGGCATGTTCGCAGTCCATCCCCTCTTCTGCATGTCTAATATATTGTGGACCAACTCTTTGACGTAAAC